ACTTTCCTATTCCAACTCCAGTGTCTGCTGACAGGCCGAGTGTAGCTGTGGCAGCACCATCACCAGAAGAGGCTGAGACACTGATCACTTCTGCTTTGGCCATGGCTCTGACATTATCCTCGGACACTTCGGCTCCAATTCCGACATTGTGCCCTCTTAACTCTGCATCGCCTTCTCTCACCTGGAACATTCCTGCACCAACGTATCCTCCTGTCCATTTTCATTTTTCACATCACCTTCAGCTTGGTAGGGACCAGTTACATATCCTTTAGGAAGATCATGTGTGCCAACCTTTAGATCCTTTTTCACAACTGTATGGATTATAAACAAAAAGACACAACATGTGATCTGACGTAAAACTTTAAATGATGTAACCAGTGGTAAGAAAAAATAGAATAGTCTGTGAGTGGAGGGGATTTTAAGAAAAGGCTATAATTTTGTAAGATGTATTCTTCTCGCTGCTCCTTTCCGTACATGGAATGGGATAAATTGGGATAAAACGATTGTTTAATGGGATAAACAATCGTTTTTTTTTCTGTTGTGTGTTTTAACATGTACCGAACAAATAAAAAAAATGAAATAGTTTTAATATCTGAGGAAAATATGTTGCACCAAATTGTAGTGGTGAAGGGCTCGTTCTAGGCACATCACGTAGCCTAGGTGCAGGGCGATAGAGAGAGAAGAAGACATGCCCACACACTTGCTCTAACACCACATCCATGTCCAGAGGTCTTCAGGTGATCATTTTTTGAAACATGGGGAGGGCAAAGCCCAAATATATAGATTTGCACTATGATGACAGGAGAGGTCAAACATACAAAACGTAGCACTGTAAAACACATCCATAACAATCATCTTTCATCAACAATCATCAACAATCATCAACATCAAAGACAAATCCCAAAACCATACAGCATCCATACATTCAAGATTTAGAGGATAGAAGCAGACCAGCAGAAATCACATCTGTTTCATTTTAGTTTAAGGTGTTTTTATTTATTATTATTTTAAAGATATTTATACAGATGTGTATTAACATAGTAAATAATGTAGCCTATTTAAAACAACATTTTAACAAGTAGCTTAATGCCTCATCAGTTTCAATAATTATCACTACCAAACATATGTTTTATTTAGGCCTATCACTATTTTAGAGTAATCATGAGAACGACATCAAACGTATCATCTAAAAATAATTTTTAGGAAACCGTTTCAAATCCTACCAATGGGCCTTACTTCTGATTGATTACCCTGTTTGAAGTATTTGACAATTTAAGGACTCGGACGCTGCTGTGCTGAACAAAGAGGAACTGAGAAGTGAAGAAACACTTGATTGAACACAAAGTGTTTCGTCCTCAGAAGACCACAAGATGCTGTCAAACCCTATGGTCAAATTTCTCTTCAGACCACAGACTGTAAAAACAGACAGTACACCCTGACGGTGTTGATACTGTGGATACAACTGGCTGTTATCTCAGGTCCAGTTCACTTTATAATCTTCCTCACGCTGCGGTCCACAGTAAGTATGATTTATTTGTTTCTGAAAATCTTAATGTTGATTTCGGGTCGATGGCATTTCTGTTCAGCTAGATATTCATGTTGTGTATCAAACTTTAACTTTGTAGTTACTTTTTGTTAACTGTAGTTAGTTATTGTTGACTTTAAAAGCTGTGAGCATACCGTTAGCTTTCTGCATTTTATCCACGCCGAGCGGTTAGAAATATCTCCCGTTGCTAGGCAACAGAGACCGTTAGTAGAACCGAGTGGTAGTGATGTGTCCAGGTATTAGTCTGACCTTCAGGCACTAACAGGTAAACGTATCATTCTCATAGATATTTGAAGCACTTATTAGATTTTATTACTTCATGCTTTTCGAGAGGTCAACAAACATGAATTTATCAACTCGACACACAATGTGAAAGAAAAGATGAAAGTTGATTTAGGATACTTACTCTCATCGTCAGAGTCTGCAAGAAAGAAAAGGTACACTTTATTATTTGCTCATTTAGGGAAAGTATTTATTCTTTTAAAGCCCATAAAATGCACAATTCCTCCATTCATTGTTAAAACAATAAAATTATAAATGTGACATTTTAATTTTATTATACACAAGTAAACATAAACTTCACACAGCTGTAAGTTTCACCTCATAGGTCACTGAAGTTAGAGAATAACTTTTTGTAGATTTTTAATGTATGAGTATGAACTTGAGTGATGTTTACTCACCTGACATCTTCAGATCTAAAGAAGTCAGAAATAAAAAGAGGGGGTATGAGATTAAGTAGAACTCAAGTTGAATAATAGTCTTGCAGTGGTTATTGTGTCAAACTGACAGAGAAGTATCAGATAATATCATATAATGTAGGCACATAAAATTAAAACATATTATATTAATCATTAGGATGTCAGAGAAATTCACAAGAATTTCTAATAGCACTGAAACACCCTGCACCTTTACCACACATCTTTACATTTCTGTTTAAAACCTCACATGCTGAATTTCATACCTGAATGTAGTTTCTTGATCCACAGGAGATATCTTGCGCTGCTTGCTCTCAGCTCAACTGCTGGACTGCTTTCATTTATCGGTTTAGTAAGTAAGAAGCAGTGACTAAAAACAAAGTGAAAACATGAAACTAACATCAACCACAGCTCAGTGACAACGGTCAACAGGAAGGGAGGTGTTTGTGGTAGATTCTATTCTGATCTCATTCTGTCTATTTATCTATTCTAGTTTTCTTTTTTTAATCGTTTATTCGTGTCCAAGATTTTCATGTGCTCACACATCTTTAAAATGACCCTTTCAGAAGTTTGATTCTAGAAAAATGTAGTAAAAGTCAATCTTTTTTCAGGAGTCCAGGGCCGTAACCATGTCAACCATCTTTATCTGCATCCTTATGACAAACTTTGCATGATGTTTATCAGCTGGGCATTTACAGAAATCCCCCCAGTTACAGGAAACAAAATGTGAAAGCAAACCCCTTTTTTTTTCTCTCTTGCTGCAGTGGTAGTAAAGTAGAGCTGGAGTTGTGTTAGAATTAGGGGTGTGAACAGTTACAAAAAATTGTAAAAGGTTACACGACGTCATTTTTTCCGTGTACATGGTTAACCATGAAAAAAGAAAAGCAAAGTGGACTTCAATCGCGCTATACAACCAATGGAGGGTGCGGCCGCTTTTCAGAAAGATTCCTCCGCATCACTGCCGCCACTCCAAGTTGTCAGACAGATACAATTGTGCTTTCTAAAGTAGGCTGTATAAGTAACACAGAAAACTTGCCATAGAATTTGTAAAAACAAATACCTGTATAGGCCTATAACAAGGCTATGATAAAACAACTACCATGATGAGTATTACATTTTTTAAAAGGACAAGAGACAAAGGATTTCTGCGTTAGGGCGCGGTCTCACTGGCCATCCGTACCGTGCCCAAGCACGCTTCAAAGCTAAAGTCCAGTTCGTTTGACCAGTGTGACGCTCCGTATCGTGCTCAGGCACTTTGGCACACTTGGGAGAGGTGTGCTTCGGCACGGTACACTTCATGCACGAGCACAAGCACGCGGGTACACAACGCTGACAGCCTTCATTATGGAGAAATCCAGAGTTTCATGTCTGTATCTGACTAACATGACTCAATATAAGACACAAAGTAGCTGTCGTGTTCTCTGTGAGAGACCCCTACCCGAGGTAGAACAAAACACAACCATATCTTTTCATAACTTGAACATGTCTAGTTCATGAAACGGATTGTTGTATACAAATATTTTACTGAAAAATAACTTTTTTTGGATGTTTTATGCATCTTACCAAAGAACGAAAATAGGTCAAATTAGGGCTTCTCCAAAAGGGACAGCTCTAGCCTTATCACATGTATCTCTGGGAATCAGAATCAGAAATTCACCAAATTTGGACAGGATGTTCACGGATAGTTATTAGTTACAATTATGCAAAGTTTTTATCAATACCATTTTCAATTTTTGAATTTTTCACAATTCTGGTCCTGAATGCTCTGGATTTGTTTGGACCAGAGCAGGTCTCCCAAACACATGAACACCCACAAAGACATAAAACAAGTTTTGTAATTGGCTTGGCTGTTTAGTGATGAAGCTAAGTGAGTCTGTTCTTTCTCCAAAGAAGTCCCCGTGCTGCATGTTTCAGTGTATTTGAAGGTACAACAAACATGACTGAGCAGAAACTCATCAAATAAATTTAAACATTGATGCAGCTTCAAGTTTTCATATCAACTCATCCACAAAGCTGCAGGTTACAGTCTCTGTAGTGGGGCGTATGAAGAGGGGAGGGGTGTGTTTTGTGTTTGGAGGAGGGACTCTGTCATTTAGAAAAGTGAGAACAAGTTCCTTGTTGTCCAGTGAAGACGGAACAAGAGCATCTTAAACCATCAGAGTGTTGAACATGAGAGTCCATCAGACTTTGATCTGCTTCTTCTTCCTCAGTGAGTACTCTCTATTCCTACACTCCTCTCTTTTCACTGCTGCATTTGTCTTCTTCATAGTTGACTTTATCAGTAACAGGAGACAGAATAAGAAGCAGTCTGTGGTGGGTGGACTCTTTCAAACATGTTGGTTTCTGTTGTTAAACTAGACGTTCAGTGTTAAAATAGAATTGAGGAAACTGAACAGAGTACTTTGAAGCTGACTTTACCAGATAAAACTCAGATACAACTAATAAACCTAGATGTCACAGTTTACCATTTTAAGTTAAGTTGTTCAAGTATTCACTCATAATTCACCTTTTTCTGCATGCTGAATGTAGAAGTTGGATGTATTTTAGAATTCAGCAGACACCAACTTGTAAAAAGTTGAATGACATTTCAGGCATGCAAATGCAAAATGCAAATTTTGCAAAATGCAAATCTCTCTCTCTCTCTGTTTTTTAAGGTATATTTTGGGGCTTTTATGCCCCCCCCCCCTCTCCTTCTGTGGGGTAGGGTATGGTAGGCCTGGTGACGGGCGGTTCGTCAGGTCTGGGTCGTGCCAACGTTGAACGTCTGGTGCAGAATGGAGCGTCGGCTGTGATCCTGGACCTGCCCTCCTCTGATGGAGCGGCTCTGGCTGAGAAACTGGGGGAGCGCTGTGCCTTCGCTCCTGCAGACGTGAGTCACTTGACACAAGCGTCATCGCCCCCGCTCTCCCGCTCGGAGGAAATGTTCCTGAAAATATCACCTGCTGCATTCACTTATCGGCTCTACTCCACTTTTTGCAAAAAAATAAAAAACGAGGGTGGCTCGCTGAAATAAATCCAGATAAAGTCGAGGGATGGGAAATTGCGCGATCTGCATTCAAACATGATGCATCTCACCTTTTCAGGCGTTTGATTAGTAGGCGGCATCCATCACGTCATCCAACACTATCACTGCTGACTTTAGCACGTCAAGTTCTTCATGTGACCTTCAATCAGTATTCGATACTAAACTTTCTCTGGTTCTTCGCCTGCATGCAAAACACACAAAAGTGTATCCTTTATTTATACACATATTCTTGGTCCTATCGATCTAACATCTTAGCGGTTTATGTGATGTCTGTAGAAAACCTGCCGTCACTGCCATGTACAGAAGAAGATACATCCTGCTCAGTTCAGACAGCTTTACTCGTTTACGTTTATCTTAAATGCTTTAGCTCAAAAGGGAAAACTGCACATCAAACATGTGTCCTGTCAGGTGTGACAGTTATATCACCTCCTCTGCCTGAGCGCTAATTGCATTTTAGCACAAGAAAGAAGGAGGATGGAGGCCGGCGAGAGCAGGACACAAGAATCAAGTCAACTTCCTAAGTGTCCTGTTGGCGTTTCCCCAGGTGACATCAGAGGCAGACGTGCAGTCGGCGGTGTCCCTGGCCAGAGAGAAGTTTGGAAAGCTGGACCTCGCGGTGAACTGTGCCGGCATCGCTGTCGCCTTTAAAACCTACAACTTCAAGAAGGACTTACCTCACAGCCTGGAGGACTTCCAGCGCGTTATCAATGTAAGACAGACACACGGATGCAGAGGGGAGGGGTGTGTTTTGTGTTTGGAGGAGGGACTCTGTCATTTAGAAAAGTGAGAACAAGTTCCTTGTTGTCCAGTGAAGACGGAACAAGAGCATCTTAAACCATCAGAGCGTTGAACATGAGAGTCCATCAGACTTTGATTTGCTTCTTCTTCCTCAGTGAGTACTCTCTATTCCTACACTCCTCTCTTTTCACTGCTGCATTTGTCTTCTTCATAGTTGACTTTATTAGTTACAGGAGACAGAATAAGAAGCAGTCTGTGGTGGGTGGACTCTTTCAAACATGTTGGTTTCTGTGGTTAAACTAGACGTTCAGTGTTAAAATAGAATTGAGGAAACTGAACAGAGTACTTTGAAGCTGACTTTACCAGATAAAACTAAGATACAACTAATAAACCTAGATGTCACAGTTTACCATTTTAAGTTAAGTTGTTCAAGTATTCACTCATAATTCACCTTTTTCTGCATGCTGAATGTAGAAGTTGGATGTATTTTAGAATTCAGCAGACACCAACTTGTAAAAAGTTGAATGACGTTTCAGGCATGCAAATGCAAAATGCAAATTAGAGAATGAATGTAGGAAAGTATAGAGATGTAGGATGTCTGTTATTGTTTTGTTTTGGATAATGTGAAACAAATCAGACTGAAAGATCTAAAAAAACAGAATATAGCTTGATTATTTATCTCTTTTCCACAGAACTGACAGATGGAAACCTGTCCGTGAAGGAACTGAAGGAGGAAACATTCTCAGTTGGATGCAGCTTTAATTTTCTGGAAAAGGAAGGTCTTCTGCAGAAACGACTGTAAGATGGAGACATTCTTTGTGAAACCACAGATGTCAGTGCTCAGTGTGGCAGATACAGCATTGAATTAAGAAATAACAGTTTTTATGTGAGCATCACAATTTGAGAAAGTCTGACTCTGGATCGTACACATGTTGGTTGGATAGATACTTGGCTCTAGATTCAACTGAGACGTTTGAGCTCAGAGTTAAAGAAGGTGAGTTTTTACTCTTACATCTTTGAAATATCTCAGTAAGTAAACATTTAGTTTAGAGCTGCATCTTTTCTTCATTGTGAACTCTAAAAATTCTTAATTTAAACCAACAGTTTGTCTGTAAATGATCAGATTAGTCGACACGTTGAAGTTAATTTGAATATTGTTGCAACAGACGGACAGAATAACTTTCACTTTTATCTGTAGTAGAAAAAGTTATTTACTGTTTTTAGAGAATTTGTAATATTTGAGCTGATTTGAGAAGTTTCAACACACAGTTGAAGATGGTATTTTATGTTAGTTTTTACTTTTCAGGTGTTTTATCTTTTCTGTGTTTCTAATAATGGAGTTTTAACCCAGGTCACAGAATATATATTTATAGAAATGTGTTTAATTGTGACTCTGAATGATATTTTCATGTTTATGTTAAAATGTAGCCTACATTTTAAAGTCAACGTGTGCTACACAATAATAAGTTTAACAATCTCTGCTCCTTTAAAACTAACAGCTCAGGGCGCTGGTAGCCTAGTGGATAGAGAGCACACCCCATGTAGGGAGGCTGTAGTTACTCCAAACTCTCTCTAAGGTTTATTTTTGGGCTTGTTATGCCTTTATTTGAGATGTTGGATAGACTCAGAGAGAGAGAGAGAGAGAGACAGAAAGAGAGACAGAGAGAGAGAGAGACAGAGAGAGAGAGACAGAGAGAGAGAGAGAGAGAGAGAGAGAAAGAGAGAGACAGAGAGAGAGAGAGAGAGAGAGAGAGTGTGGATGACATGCAGGAAAGGAGCCACAGGCTGGATTCAAACCCAGGCTGCTCGCTTGGAGGACAAAAGCCTCCGTACTAACCACTAGAATACCAGCCCCTCTCTCCCTGATTTCTGACTCTATCCACTGTCTCTAAATGAAGGAAAAAAACCCAAAAGATAAACCTTAAAAACCTCCAGCTCATCTGTAAATTATAAGATCGGCTCAGATCAAACAATTGAAAATGTTTTCACCAAACACGATGATCGACTGCTGCTTTGAGCTTTATTGGTGTCAGATTTAATTTGTACCTTTATTTTTAAATTGTATTTTCCAGCTATAACCACCTCTAAACCAAACACGACTCCTAAACCATCATCGACCCGCTCGACCTCCACACTGACCACAGCGCAGACTGTGAGCTCCAGTTCAGGAAGCACCACGACTTCACCACACTCATCTGAGACAACCGAGAAATATGAACAGGGCACATCAGCTTCTGGTTCAGGTACATTAAAAAAATGATTAGTAAAAATATAGTTTAGAGCTGCATCACTTCTTCATTGTGAATTATCAAAATTTTCAGTTTATACCACCATCTTATCTGTAAATGATCAGATTAGTGGACATTTTGAAGTTATTCTCAGACTTTAAGTATTTTTCTTCTCCCTGCAGATTTCTTGTGTAGTTGTTTATGTAAGTTGTTTTTAGTCTGCACATGCTCATACTGTCTAATGTACGTACATTACACATGTCAAACTACATTCATTGTTGGACTTGACTTGGATATCTTTTAAAATGAAGCAGGAAAAAATAAAAACAATCATGTTCCTCAGGCTTTAAGCTGCTTGTGCGTCTGATCCTGGTCTTCATATTTATTGTATCATCAGCAGCTGTGCTGATGTCTGCAGGAGGAGGACCACAACACCTGAAGGTGAGATGTTAACATCATCTAAAAACTCACCACACTCACAAATAGCCAGCATCCTGGTCTGATGGAGAAAAACACAACTCAGCTGTCTGAAGGAAAGAGGCTCCACAAAATGCAACAAGTGGTCCTGATCTTCTGAATTATGTTTTCAGAATCCCATGTGGAACTAGACTACGTAAATATCAACCATGTGAGTGTCTGAGAAGATTGTTGAATAGTGAACTTCATTAAAGATGTAAAAACATCAGACATCAATACAAACTAAACCCTTCTTTCTTCTCTTCTGCAGGACGATCAAGAGCATGACGAGATCGGAGAGGAGGACAGACAGAGTGGACTTCCTCCTGTGAAAACATCTACACTTTAAAATTCATGTTGCAGCGAGTCCAGAGCAGAACTTTTTTTTAACACATTTTGGTTTGAAAGATAACATCTTCATTGCAGAGCAGAGATAAGATCGTGGAATGTGGTTGACAATCTAAAAAAGAAGAAGTTGTTTCCTCTTCTTTAAGTTTAACTTCAAGTTCTCAGAAACCTGTTGATGAAAACAGGAAACAGGCGATGTTGTGCTCATGTCTGTAAAAAGTGTGTATCTGGACTGTAAACCACAAACTTTGACCTTTTGATGAAGAAGACCCTCAGCTGAATATTTTGTTTTATTCAGTAAGATCATGTTTTTATGTTTTGTGTAATAAGAGGATCTGAATGCACACTGTTGAATTCCTGAAGTTTTGGACACATGTCACTGAATCTCAATGAAACAGAAAACGTTGATGCTAACTTAAGTCCCGTACAGATTGATCATTTTGTCATCAGTGCTCATTTGGAGCTGCACTGATTCTGTTGCCCCGATAGAAATAAAGATAAAATAGTTTGGGCCAGAATTTCAATTCTGTGTCATTGTCTGACTAAAATGTGTTGATGATTGATTTGAGATATAGCCAGAGTGCCAAATCCAAGATGGCTGCCGGCGCCATGTTGGAAAATTAACTTTTGAACCTGAGCACCTAGAATCGTGTAAGAAGACACTTTTTTTGTGTAAGCCAACCACAGGATTCAGACTCTGACCTCAGTTTGATGTTATGACATCATTTTGACACAGAAATCTAAGAAAGCTGCCGTCCAGTAGAGTGAAATGTAAGTTTGGAATGAAAGGTAAGATGTGTGTTTGAGGTGTGCCATTTGTACAGTATGTAAAGAAGCAAAAATAACAATGATAAACTATAGCTATTGTAATTAAGAATCCATGCCAACCAAACATGTATGGTTTAGTAACAGCAATTCATGTTTCAGGGGTCTTTCATAATTATGTTCAGTTCTCAAGTATAACTCAATGCAACACATTAAAACAACATGAAGTTATTTCTTCTTAGTTTGCTTGTTTACTTGTCAACAGACTATGTACATTTTCTTTTTGAGTCTTTTATCTTTAATCATTACTTTCTTTCAATACAGAGACGTTGTGTATAGTTTTGTCTTTTTCTAGTTTGGTTTTTCGATGTTTAGTGCTTCATGATTAGTTTGTAGTTGTCCTCTGTTTCTTGTATTCCTGTCTGTGTGATTGCCGATTGTCCTCACCTGTGTCTTGTTAGTCTCACCTGTGTCTGATTCCCCTGTGTATTTAGTCTCTGTGTTTCTGCCCTTCCGTGTCAGTTCATTTTGCATGTATTTTAGGTGTCATATGTGAGTTTACTCGTGGCTACTTGTTTTCTTGTTTGGCTTTCTGAAGTGAGTTTTTGTTTAATTAAATAATTTTTGGTTCTGCATCTGGGTCCTCCTCTTGGATTTCTCAAACCGTAACACACTTGTTATTGTTCCTGTTCTGTAAAAAAAAAGCGAGGTAACTCTTTTAACTTTGTGCTGTGCTCATATTATTTTTTTATCCCCAATAAAAAAAAGAAAAAAGAAACTGGTTGAAGAGGAGGAGAATATGTGACCTTTAAGCTGTATGTAAAATATCTACTGACTGAGGTGATAAAGTGACCTCACTATATAATCAGACATTAAGGAAACATGCTATGTTGAAGTGCTGGCTTCTCTGACAACAATGCAGCAGCCAGTATGTCCTCCTTCTAACTTTAGATTCTGCTCCTGAATGCTCTGGATTTGTTTGGACCAGAGCAGGTCTCCCAAACACATGAACACCCACAAAGACATAAAACATAATAAAACATTGATGCAGC